GCAAAATAACCTCTTTAGCAATGTATTATTTGAATAGAAAACAAAATAAACTCGTTGAAGATTGCTGGAGGACACCATTCAATGTAATCTACGCAGTCATCAGACTTCAGGGAGAAATATGAAACAATTGGAAGATTAAAAAACTTTAATTGTTTGTTGGGATTGAGGTATTTTATCAACGCTCTAGGAAATTGCTGAATGTGCTTCAGATGTTGTTATCTAACACCTTTAGAGTCTTTAATAGTCCTACTGAAGCTATTATATACTTTTAAAATCTGCATATTTAAGAGAAAGTAAGCATGAGAGTGCAACTGTTAACTAGTTCAATTATAAAAATCCAATCAATATTATCCAGTTCTTACTTATTAATAAAGAAGCTTCCAAATGGTAATAATATTTTCTATCTAAGGAGCATAGATGGAAATAGAATAGTTAGAATAGAAAATTAGATTTTTTTTTTCCTTAGAAAAATTAAGCTAATTAAATTGATAAACTTGATGAGGAGTCTGTAAAGCAACCGGATGTCAACATCTGAATTGTTTTGGTTGTTTTTTATGCCCCATTCATTAATATGAGAGGAAAAAAGGCCTGCATAGACATATATAATGCACAGACCAGATGTTTGGGAATAAACCAGAGAAAGATGCTCTCCTGCTCTGCTTTACAGCGGATCAGTCTGCCTCCAGATTTCTCCCAGTAAGGGAAGCTTTTTACACAGAAAGCAAGACAGTATATGCCTCAACTTTAAGTTATTGAAAACTACTGACTGTAAATAAAAAAGAAATTCAGCTTTAATTTCTTCACCGCTATAAAAAGAAGAAGCAATGAATCAAAAGGTAAAATTTTCAAGCCTATAGATCAGAGATATGCATGTAGAAGGGATGAAGCATTTCCTGAAAAAACAAGTACCATGCCTAAAGTGAAGCATGGTGGTGGCTCAGTGATGCTTTAGAGCTTCAAACTTGCTCTGACACTGGAAACGTGTAGCATACAGAGGGATTCATCCAGTATCATCGGTGAGGAAGCTTAAACGTGGCCATGAGCAGTGGCCTAAGGTTCTTCAGGAACGCTGAAGAAGCTTGTGTCTGATCTACTGAAATAATATTGACACTGATGTAAGCATTAAACATTATACTTTGTATTTATTTAAAGAAAGCTGTGTTAAGCAACTTAAGTAAACTGATTAAGGTTTGCATAATTGGCAGATTAACTTCAGGTCAAAATATTTAACACCTTTAAAAACACCTTTAACACCTTTAAAAACAGAAAACAATGACTGATTTTTAGTTGAAGGTCTTGTTCTGCACATTAACTATTGAGTTTAACGCTGGTCCTGAATAAAGCAGGCTGTTTCTGACAAGGGGCTGAAATAATTATTTGAATTAAATGATTATTGAAAATAGCCAACAACTAATTTAGTAATCGATTATTCGTTAACTGGATTATAGAGACTGTAAAATGTGCCTTTAGCTGACAGAGCGATCCACTTAGAGCAGCAACTATAGAAAACTTGCGGGAAAAAATATGTAAACATTTTGTATTTAAGATAATCTTTTTTTTTTCTATCAATATGCTCTATCAAAACTGCTCAAGTGGAAAAGCTTTAGTTTCACCTCGTTTAATTTCATGAAAAGTCTTCTTTAAGGAACCTTTTGCTATCCAATTATTAATCGATTCATGGAAAAAAGAATCGACAAATTGATTTACAAAATAATCGTTAGTTGCAGACCTAGAACTGACCATTAGAAACCAGACAATGTGTGACATTTATACTCATTACAAGGAGGAAGACGTTGCACAGCAGCTGGATGCCAAAGTCTGCAGGAATCCTGTCCGAATGTAGCACACTAGCACTCCCAACACAGACCCTACACACAAGCGCTTCACACACCGAGCTGATTACACATTCATTGCCCCACACTCTCTGATGACTCACGCAGCAATAGCATTCTCACCAGCCATGAGCAGCCACACTTCGTGTAAGAGCTCATTGCTGCTTTGCCTCATCTTCATTGTCATACAGTTTACTGCAGGATGGAAAGAGGCGGCTCATCACGACAAAAAGGGCAGCAACAATGGAGCCATTTTTCACGATGCGGCTTGAAACTAAACCTCCAATCATGGAAAGAAAGACTTTAGCTTCATCTCATCTGAGAGTCGAGTGGAGGAAAACTCCTGTGGGGGATCATCCTGAACAATCAACGTCAGGGTTATTACAATATGATGTTTAGATGTTTTAATGTATAACCTCCTGGGTCATACTTTACTACAGCACAGATGCTTGTGTTTTCTCCTGCTGTTTATGCATTGGTAAAGATCTGATTTCTACAAAGCTACAGAAAAATAATCAAACACCTAAGATAAGAAAATCAGGCAAGAAGAAAAAGGAGGGGATGGAAATAGAAAATAAAACTGAAGGATGCAATAGCAGAAAGGAAAATGTGGGCACAACCAAAGATGGAAAAAATAAATTACTCATTAATAATGAGAAGTACACTTAAGTTTTCATTTAGAGTGCAATCCTTTAGTGAAGGAAAATGCCTTCAGGGTTTTAAGAGCATTTGGAAGAAAAGCCAGCCCACAGCATCACAGTTCCTCCATCGTAGAACATAAGATGTCTACCTATTCATCCTTGTTGCTAAGAACTCAGTCTCATCTGACCAAAGCACACAATGTGAACAACCTAAGTACAGAACTGAAACAGGTAACCTGATTAGTCCATTATACACATAACTGTAATGAAATAATCATCAAGTGGAGCTTACAGATTTTAAACATGCCATCTGCTGAAATAACAAGCAGCTCAGAGCATTAATTAACAAAAAACTGTTACATGTAAAACATTCTTATGCAAAAATGCTCTGTCCAGGATGCCTCAAGTAAAAAAAAAACACTGATTAATTTTATTGGTAACATGTACAATAGTTACATCCCTTGTTGTGATAGGGAATTGTTTCTTGTAGGATTTTGGTTTCATTTAAAGGTTAATTTCTGAGACTTTAACAACAGATTTAACATAAAGTTGTAGTTTTTTTCTTTACTAGAGGTGAGGAGTACGCCGTCTGTGTAAAAGAATCTGGCTGGGAGCCAGATTACTGTGTCGATACACAAACCCGTATCTCTTTCGTAGACAAACACGATTTGTTTCAACTGTCCCCCAGGGGCCACCTGAAGACAACCGATGAAACGCTTATTGATTGACATCCAGAACAGGGAAGCTCGCTCTTGTCACCGCTCACACTATTGTTAAATACCAGAGAGACTGCAAAGATTGTAACGCCTCTCATGCTTCATTCCACAACAAACATTAGAACTATTAGAAAGAAACGATCTTCAGCACACCTCCAGAGCACGTACATCAGCTGCAGCGGTACAAACTGTCCCTGACTGATGCAGAAGAAGAAAAATGATGTCTCTGAATGTAGGTAACAATCAGTATCCTGAAGGTGCACCTCACAATCTGAAATAAATGAGGTAATGGTGCTTTGCCATTCTGACAGCAGCATTGTTGCCGTGACATCATCGTGCAGGGTGGGCTCAGGATTGGCTGCTCACAGAGGTCAGCTTCTGCCCTGTAACCGACCAATAAGGCGGCAGCTGAGATCAGACGAGCCCAAAAGCTTGATCACATCACTACTCCTGGACTCATTTCCTGCTAACGTTGCTGACGGCATGCACGGTCATGAGCGAAGACACTACATGACGACAGAAGAGGACATGTGCTGTGGCTTTAGCAATACAAAGGACAAACTAGTAGCCTTTGAGCTTTAATTAAAGAGTAAATATATGTGGGTTTTTTTCTTTTTTTTTTACACATACATTTAAATTCTGTTTCCTGATTGTTTCAAGGTTTTCCAGGAACCAAACAAGGAAGTACTGAAAGTCCCTTGAGAGACAGTGGAAAAAATAAATTATTCATATAAAGCTGTGTGGAGCTGAACGCTTCTCATAAGAGCAGGACATGGCATCTATAAATAACTGGTAAAGCCATTAGCTGCAGAGCAAGACTTGAAATTAATTCAGTTTTAGATATGAAGAAATGCAAGTTAAACTGATTTTTAAGTCTTAAAAATCATCATTTGTTTGGAAAATTATTTGTTTTGGAGAGATTCTACTTTTTTCAAAAACAGAAACATAAACACGATATTATTTCCTTGTGTTAAATTAGATAAAATGCATAATTTTTTTATTAAATTATTTTTCACATGGTATGCTGAATGTGGATCTGTTTCAGTCTCTACTTGAAAAAAAGAAGAAAAACCAAAGAGGTTTTTGAGTTGTTTTGCATTTAATTTGCAATACAGTCAATGACAGAGCCCTGGAAAAGACAGTGAGGGGATCTGATAAACATTTGCCTTCTTTAAGGATCTTTTTCAACCTTTTTTTGCACCCAAAGTTCTTAAGAATTTGCTTAATTATAACAAAATCTTACTTGCTTATAAAAAGGTTTAAAATTACAATAAATTAAGATTATTTTATTTCAGATTGTTTTAGTACTTCCACCCTCCTTTAGTTAATCTCTCTCTCGGTGTCACTTTTCACTTTGTTTATTTTTATGCCTTATAGTGATGCTTTTCATTTTATCAGATGAAACAGACTTAGAGAAGCTGTATAGTTTTTGTCTAACTGCTCTAAAACGTCCATAACATATTCAAATGAACCTTGACCCCGAATCCAACCGCGGTAAATTGATAAATGAAGAGTGTTGACAGAAGCTCAGTGGATATAAAGTGTCTGTAGATGGAAGCTGAGATTGTTTTTCACACGCAGCTGGTCGAACCTGCTTTAGCTAATGACGACAGCTAGCTAAAGATGCTAACCCATTAGCTGATTAATGACTCCTGTTCTGTGTAAAAAAACAAACTGCGATGTCTGACAAGCAAGTTGTGCCAAATAACTCCCGCATTTAGATAAATTTGTTTCATATAGAAGCAATTATATTCTGTTAAAAGCCAGTTTCTGCCTTCCTGGCAGCTTCTCTGTTGCTAACATCGACCAACCTGGAGAGATGCTTCAGGATCTGCTTCTTGATGAGCCCAGCCATGGTGGAGCTAATCCGATATTCCAGCTGTGAGCTTTCTGGCCAGCCTAACCGCTAGCTTTCCTCCGCTCGAGCTATAAACAAGCGGCTCAGTTTCTTCTCCCGGTGTCGCTCTTCATTTCGGCGCCTTTCCTTCGCTTTATTCATAGAAGGTTAAGGCCGCAGGGGTCCCGCGGAATGACATTTCCAGATATCCGAAAGGCAGCCCCGGTAAGCCGACAAAGCATTACTGAGATGAGCTACTTTCTGTTCTGATGGAACACGGGAACGGCCGCGGGTCTCTGCGGTATCCACAGCCCACCTGGTGGCAGGTCATCCGGGGATGTGCGTCTGGAGGCTGTCACAGCGCCCACCGGGCGGGCGGAGACATATGCTGCGTTCAGGATCCGCTCGGAAATAAAGCATCATCTCGCAGATTATTTTTTGTTGTTGCTTTTCTTTGTAGTGCGGCGCCTTGCACAAATTATAATTTCTAAAAACACAGAAATGATCTTTTATTTGACAGACAACCAGGGGCGGAGCTAGATGGGGGGCCATGGCCACCATTAGCCAATCACTGGCAACCCCTACCAATTTTCCTCACCTAATAATCAAGTGGAATATTCAAAACATTTTAATTTTTCATATAATATTTACTATTTTTTCATATATTCATAAGTAATTTATAACAAAAACACACATCAATATACCACTGATAAGTAAAGAAACCAGGTTATACTTTATATAACCTTCTTCCTTTTTTATCTTCATTCCACATTTTTTGCCATTTTTCAATTTCTTTCCTCTTAATAAATGATTTTCCTTCCCCTTTCCCTAAAGGAATTGTAATTGTTATTGCCTCCTCTAAAGCCCTTTTTGCTAAATCAATGCCACTCCTGTATAATCTAAATAAACTGCTGAATTTCTAATACTAAATCTTTCCTATTATTTCCTTCTCCCTGAATACTTTCTAAAACTGCGTTGGAATCCGTGCATACCACCATACCCTGTCTGCTCTGACCTCCTCAACCCATACAAAGTACAAAACAAGTCAAAAGTCAGTATTCATTTTCCTGTTGGAACAGTGTAGATTCACCCTAAAGTTCTGGTGCCTCTCCATTTTTGGCCACCCCTCAGTGGTCACTGGTTATTGCCCAGCCACCCGTATTAAAATTTTCTGGCTACACCTCTGCAGACAACCATGTCCACGGCCCAGGTGGGGGAAGCTGTCAAAATGTATATTTTAACTGAAATGCTTTTTGTTCACATTACCCCTAAACACACCATCTTAATAATGAAACATGGTAATGGCAGCATCATGGTGATGGGATGCATTCAGTAACAAAAAACAGAATTCATTCTTTATTGAAAGCCTGTTAGAGGCTACAGAGGACCAAAGACTTGAGGGGAGGTTAACATTTAACAGGACAATGACCTTCTGTATATACGCAGAGCTACAATGGATTAGTTTAAGTCAAAACATATAATTTGTCAAAGTCCCGGTCTAGATGGATAGAGAACCTATGTCAAGATTTAAAAATAATACTCTCTACATAACTAGCTCGATTGAACATTAGACATTTTAACTTAAATGTACAAATCTAGCTTCAAAGAAACATTAATCTTCTGTTTATTTCCCGACAGCTTTTCCCCCTTTCAATTACATTCTGTTTTAATGCATGTTTACCACAAAACATCTGTTAGGATATAATAAATAAACTAACACAGCTCAAATCTATTAACATATAATCCAATTAACAGCATCTTAAATCAAATGCAACTCAGTCTTAAAAACTCAACTTTTTTACATTCAAACTGCACGATTCAGTTAAAGAAAAATACTACTCAACTGGTACATTACATACTGCTTCTCAGATGTGACTAAATAATAAAAGAGGCGGCTTATAAAGAAGGTATGTGACAATGAACTGATTAATATTTGTTTTTAGGGTTTCTTTTTTCTAGAAATAGGAGCTAAAAATTATAAATGGGAAAAAAATATTATATGACAAATGCAGCATTGAACTAACAATTAAAGTAATGTCCAAATCTGTAATATAAATAGTTGCAAACATAACAGAGAACACGTCTAGCTTAGATTTAAACGCTCAGCTAGTGCCACCTGGTGGTGAGAGGTATGCAATAATACCACAATGATTCAGAAAGTTAAACGTATTTACTGACAAGTGACAATACATGGCTTTTAAAAATCCTACTCAGATCTGAGATTATGAGATTATCAGATTATGAGATTAAAGTCAGAATTCTGAAAAAAGTGAGAATTCTGAGATTAAAGTCTGAATTCTGAGATCAAAGTCTGAATTCTAAGATCAAAGTCAGAATTCTGACTTATTCTGAAATTTAAGTCAGAATTCTGAGAAAAAATTCTGAATTCTGAGATTAAAGTCTGAATTCTGAGAAAAAAGTCTGACTTCTGAGATTAAAGTCTGAATTCTGAAAAAAAAAGTCTGAATTCTGACATTACAGTCAGAATTCTGAGATTAAAGTCAGAACTTTTTTCCACATATTAAACTGAAATAATAATAAAAAAAATCTGTTAACTTTTTTATTTTTTCTGTGGCCCTAATCCTCTTCCATGCACAACTCCTCCTTCATCTTTGTCAGTGAAGCTGAGTGCTTCCACATCTCCTCCTTCATGGTGCTCATCTACTTCAAGATCCAAAATTGGTTGATTAGTCTAAATTCTGAGATTAAAGTCACAATTCTGAGATTAAAGTCAGACTTTTTCCCCCCATAATAAACTGAAATAATCAGTTAGGCCCTAATCTTCGTCCATAACACTGAAACCATCGCAGGCATTGAGTTTGAACCACTTTATCCGATGACTTTGTGAGTTTTCAGACATGCATATTTCAGAGGAGTCATATAATTATGGATGTGGCTGCCTGCAGACCACAGCTGCCACGTATGAAAGGAGGAGCATGTTGGAGGAAAGCAGGGAGCTCCTCCCTGCGTTGAAGCAAGTTTACATCAGGCATGCATCATCATGTAGAAATATATACATGCATAAAACAGGCCATTTATTGGGGTTGTTTGATGAGTGGTTGGTTTCTGGAATCAAATGTGCAACTTTAATATCGGAAAGTTTTAACATGACTATAGAAGTTGATAAGTTCCAGAAGGCTTTCCTCCCTATTTATTTAGGAGAAAATCCTGCAAATATAATGTCTAACTGGGATGTTTTTAAAACGACACAAACCTTTTATTGTTTTTAGTAGTTTTGTAGGTTTTTATTAAACTCCTGGAGGGTCTGTTTTACGGACAGCCCCCATCCGCATACTTGGATGCAAAAAAAAAAAGCCCCGTGGAAAGACACGACGCGCTCCCTGATACGCTGCTGCTCCCGCAAGAGGGGCTGAACTGGGAGCCCACTCCATCCACGACAGCACAACCAGATCTCCTTCCTCACACATTCATTCCGGACCGAGTCTCCGCTGGAAACATGACCACAAAAAACCGATCAAAGAACAGCGAGAAGAGCGCAGCGTCCAGCCAGGACGATGCGCCCAAGAAAAGCCAGAAAAGTAGCGGTGCCACCAACGGGGTGAGTGGCCCCGAGGGGCCGCAGGGGCCCCGCTCAGGTAGCTGTCTCGGGCTTATTGTAACCACGGTATTTTATATCGCTATGATAGGGGCTGCTGGGTTTGCAGCTTTTTATTTACAACAAGTGGTGGAGGAAGTCCGACAGATTCATGCAAAGCACGAGGAGAGCGCGCGACGAAGCGGAGAGATGGGCACCAAAATGGAGAGCTTCGTTCAACAGGTGAGCAAAAAACAAAACAAAACATGAGAATCAATGAAAACTGGATTTGAACGAGGGATTTGATTTCTCCTTGTTTAAGAGATTTAAGTTTGGATAAAAATAATACTGTAATTATTAGTAGCCTATAACTTCTTTGCTGTAATGATTTCTAATCAGCTACTGATGATATATCTGGACACTTATTATGATAAGAGTCACAGTGACAAAAACCCAGTGTGAACTTCAACCAAAAGCATGACTTATAAACTTTATTATAGCTATAAATAAAAATAAACTTTTATTCTTAAATTATCAAAAAGTGTGGACACTTGTTTTAGAACCACTTTTCATTAACAGTTGCGGGTCTTTTAGGACAGGCATCCCCAACCTCGGCCCTCGAGGCCCGCTTTCCTTGCTTCAGCACAGCTGATTTTAATTGAAAGCTGATTAACAGGCTTTCGGTCTACTGCAATCATTATAATCGGCTGTGCTGAAGCAGGGAAACCTCTAAAACCTGCAGGACAAAAATCGAACATGAAAAAAAAGTAAAACAAACCAGAAACCATGGAAACTACAGGGGAAAACCATCACAACGAGGTAGGCACAGTAAGACGGACTTGGAGGAAGTTTGACGAGGAACCAGCACTGAAGGACTGCACAAGGAGAGTATTTATGACTAACTGAACAAAGAGAGGACTAATGGGCTGATTGGGAGCAGGTGTGAAGGGAGCAGTCTAAGGATCTAGGGAAAAAGGAGACCAACACAAGAGGGCAACAAATAAAAACCTGAGAACTGAAATATTACCAGAAAGCACAACAAAATAAGCATTAAACCAATAAAATTGGAAAACATGGAGCAAAGTTAAACTGAATACTCAAAAGAAAACATAACAGAACAAAGACTGTGTCACCAAGGACACCCAAACTGATCGCGAGATGAGCGGGGACCCCCTAATTATATATATTGAATTAAATTGTGTTATATCAAACTGGTCCTATAGTCAGTCTTTTTACAGCTGGAGCAATGTAATGAAAGTAATTTTGCCCTTTGATAATTAAAATATTTCTGATTCCTGATTCATGGGACAGGTGTTGTGAATGAAACGGAGTCCAGCTTGAAAGAGCTCCTGTGTGTCTCTGAATGTGTGCATCTTCTGCCTCCATTTATCTGTTTACTATAGTGTTGAATTCATGTTAATGTGGATTTAAGACATTTCAATAAGTAGAAAAAATTGCCTGGGGGCATATAAAAAAAAAGTCTAATCACCCAAAACTTTGGCGACCCCCATGCAGCACCTCCGTTGACTCCCTAGGGATTGCGGACCCCCTGTTGAAGACCTCCGGACTATATAGACCATCTAAACTGCTATTGAAATAATATAACGGGGAACCAACATCAGTTAAATAATACTATTAATAAACATTGCTAGAATTACAGCTTTTATTCATTAATGTATAAAAAAAAACTGTTCAAAGAAACGTCATGAAGTCATATAAAAGATATGAAACGATTTTTAAAAAAGAAAAATGATAGGAAATTCCTCATTTGCAAATCAATTTCAACTTTCTTGTTTTGATGCTACTATGTAGAAAGGCAGTGATGGTTCACCTGATTTTAATTA